TCTAAGCTATTTCTTTTTAAATTGAAATAAAAAAAATACGTATCTAATATTTTTCTATTATCTGACTGACGGACGAAATAGAATTGCATTTTTTTTACCCAGTCATCATCCCTATTAAATTACAATGTTTAAAGTTAATAATATAGAATAGGACATAACTATATCTGTTACATTACATTCACATCCAGTTGCACAAAAGTCCATTTAAGTTATCATTACTTTAGACTCTAAAGTTTAGAGCGACGTTAGCGATACAAATTTGACATTCATTAGTGGTTAAAGACGTCATTAAACCTTAATGGACGTTTGTGCAACTGACCATTACAAGCGTAGAATAACAAATCGGACGTGACGTCACGAGAAGGAAACGCACCGTGTCCTTCTAGGGAAGTTATCATTCCCATACAACTACAGCGTCCAGAAATAACATGACACCAACGTAAGTAGACCTTCAAACCCTTAACGTTCTTCAGTACGAATTACCAATGTGTGCGCCGCCAAGGGATCAGGTTAAAAATGTTTCTATAAACAGCTGTTGACGAAGTGGGAGCGTTGCCTTCCCAAAGACAGTTTTATTTTTTATTACACGCAACGGAATAAGTGTATAGTGCTTTAAATGAACTGTGACGAGTCGTTGTTTGAGAGTTAATTAAAATTTAAGACATTAATCTCAAATTGTAATTAACCATTACATCGGGAGCAAAGATAATTTACTAATGTTGTCTATTAAAAATAAATGATAAATTCTACGCTAATATTATAAACAGGAAAGGTTTCGTTATTTGTTTGGCTATTTTAAAAAATCTTTCCTAGGTAGCTTCATCATACGCGGAAATATGGGTTATATATTATGGAAAAACAGCTAGTGGCGTTAAATTAACAATATGTGAATATATTTAAATTAGATACACATTTTACAATATTATGGTCCTGTCTGTAGCGTTTGTGTAAATCGCAGGGCTCGTTGTAAAACAATTCGCTAATGAGATATGTAGTAGTTTAATTTATTGGGGAAGGATATAGGCTTCCTTCTATGAACCTGTGGAACTCAGATGAAATCATTCAAACATTATGCAGGTAGTTACTAGCTCTTTGCCCGCGTATGATGTAGTTTCCAATAAATTAAACTCCCCGACCGCTCGAAACAAATAAATAAAGTTAGAATCTTTACCTCTATAAAGGTAATATTGGTCGTTTTTCCTTTAATTTTTTCAAATTTTCCGTTTTCGTAGCCGCAAGTATTTCCAACCAGTGCTTCCCGTATGTCATCGCGTTGTATCCATAAACGTCAGTGACGAGTCATAACAATAAAACCTTTTTATAGACAACAATAATAAAATATAAGCGTCAGCAAACACATATGCGTGACGTAAACGAACTGAACCCACCCCACCCCAAACATACGAACAAAAAAGTATCTTGTTTATTATTTCTTCATCACCGACGCACGTACGTGCAATGTGCATATTATAGCTTTTTTTTTTAATTGCTTACACGTTAACTAACATCCATATAATATTATATTTACTATACCCGTTTATTAAAATCTATACTAATATTATAAAGCGAAAAGATTACATTGTTTGCTTCGAATAGGCTCCGAAACTACTGGAACAATTTTTGAAATTCTTTCACCTACGGAAGCTACATACAAGGGTGACATAGGCTATAATTTACGCAAGCAAAGTAACCGGAAAACAGATATCTATACTAATATTATAAAGCTGAAGAGATTGTTTGTTTGTTTGAACGCGCTAATCTCAGGAACTTCTGGTTCGATTTGAAAAAATCTTTTTGTGTTGAATAGACCATTTGTCGAGGAAGGCTTTAGGCTATATAACATCACGCTGCAACTATTAGGAGCGAAGAAATAATATAAAACGCGGACAAAGTCGCTGGCGGACACTAGTTAATTATAAAGAGGAAAGATTTGAATGCTAATTTCTTTTTTGACACAGTTCTTGTTACTACTAGATTTAAAATAAAAAAACTAAAATATCAGTCATCCTAGATTTATCAAAATGCATTATTAATGTTCTAAGAATATTCGCAAATGAGGCCGGACATTTAAAGTTCTTAAATTTACGTTGCACTTTTGATTGTGTTATTTCTTACGTAATTTCAAATTCAATTTGAGCAGAAGTTTAAGTTTTTCATTCATCCGTCCTCTTTCGCTCTATAGCAGCTGAATTTGAATTAGCAATATGTTTCAGATACTCGCCTACAATTAATTAATAAACAATAGCCTTGTAATAAAAAAGTAAGTATAAAGTACGAATATCCAGACAATATTTGAATGTACCTAATATTTGAGAAAAACACAATCAGACACAATATTTCATATGACAATGGATACTTAGCAATTCGCAAATAAATCGAATTCACTCAATATTTCAATGTTCGAGATTCTACGAGATAGAGAACCCTATTTGTCAACTCCGTAAACAATACAAATTATAAAGGTAGTCACATCGGATAAATCTGCACTTTTCCATACGATATGATTCATATGACCCTGCTGGAAACTTAACATGACTCACGATTGTATAAAATAAATATGTTTATTTTAATAATTCATTTATTATTAATTTAATGCAATTAAAATCACGTCCATTCAACGGAAAATAAATGAGTTGTTTTTTTTTTCAATGTGACAGGAACTTCTCATGGACATACACATTGTCAACACATCCGCATACATTATTGATATTAATAATCACACTACCATCTCATAGGGACTCTATGAGGGTGAAGATCACACACGAAAGGTTCAGTTTACACCATGAATGAAATAGTTCACTAATCTGCAAATTGATGTCAAATTGTCAATGTCTGTCGTTATGGTATCCATTTAATAATCTAATAATTCGAAAGCAATTAAATCATTGAACTTTACAAAATCATACGATTTCGCCTCGTCTTTTAATGTTTAGGTCCTTAAATATACACACTTCTCAAAATAAGCATACAGCTATCAGAATTCAGAATACATTAGCAGAAGGAAATCATTGCCATTCATTAGAGTCCTAAAAATATCCGGTAGCCACTTATTATTCAAATCATTTGTAGGACCATGAATCAAGTATCATCGTCTAAGCCAATGGCATCCATTAAAAACATTTCGGATTCTGAACGCCAATCGCATGTTAGAACAATTAGGCATAAAACGCGGATGCGATGACCATATACTGAGTATACCTACTCTGAAACTCGCTGGACTGATTGATTATGGTCAGGTTTAATTATTTCAATGTCAGAAATAGGATATGAACATCCCCTTTGTTAATGAAAGTACAAGCCTTGGATTATAAGTACCAGAGCAAGCGCTCATTGTCACTAAAGATCATTAAAAAAAAACAAACAAAACGATCTCATTTCAATTGCAATTTAATTTGGCGAGAGGCAGAAGAAGGTAGATATAACAGATGTCTCCTGTACTAGCTACGTCAGCAAGGTGTTAGCCTTTAGATTCAATATAGCATGGAGTAAGTGTTGAATATACTACCAAAAGTGAGTTCTCCAAAGAATGAGTCCTGAATTTATAATGACAATATAAGCATCAGCAACAAGATACTGATTTGAATGCTGATAATAATAATGTTATTCAAGTCATAACATAAACATTTGTTGAAGGTAAGACGGAGCACAACTAACATGAAGAAAGTTTAAGTCCGACTCGCACTAAGACAAATATTTTTTTTATTTAACCAATATTTGTAACCAAGTTTATAAAAAAGATAGGTTATCGATTCGAGGTGAATGTATGTATGTAATTTTGTTGGAATAACTAATGAGATGGAATAATTTGCATGAATTAAATACCAATATAATACTTTTTCACATCTCTAACATACAAAAGGACTGACTTTCATGCAAACTATTCCATAAAAAATGCTGAACTAAAAAAGTTCAGGATTGGTGGATATTTCACACCTAAGGGGTGAAATAGAGGTTAGGAGTTGCTACGGAATACAATTTTCTTCTTTCAACTCCTATTTCATCTCTTAGGAGTATTATTTCTACAATTGCTGAAATAAGTATTTACAAATTTTCATCAGTAGCAAAAAATAAAGTTTTATGTTTCGAACTTTAAAACTTACGGTCCACCACTCCAACTGTAAACCCTTATTTCACCCCTTTAAAAGTTGTATATTCAAAATTCCTTCAATAGTGAGTATCTACTTCACGAAATAACTTAAATAATATACAAAATAATGTGAAAATATGGGGTGGTTCCAACTTCGATAGATCATGTTTGATGATGATGATTGAGACAGTGAATCAGGACAAGTTCCTCATTATAAGCGATTGATTAAGAGCTTACCTAAGTTATGATAATATATAACAAGAAAATGTTTATTTCAAATAATTAAATATTAATTTTGAAATCATTGATATAATGCATTATTTATTGAATATCTTTCTTTAAAAAATTAAATTTTATGCCCTTTGATCAGGCATTTATTGGGTGAATAAGATTTATTCCCAAAACCCACAGGTTTTATCCCTAAATGAACATACAAGTAGAAAGAAAAAGACTGCCCATTACAGTCTCATTTAATATAAAATTTAAAAATATAGTTTCATGAGTAAACAACATTTTTTTTAAAGTTTATTTGATCTACACACTAGCAGAATGATACTAAGATAGTTAAAATAGACATTTTAATTTAGCAGATTGATTCAGTATTCTGTAGTTACATGTGTATCAGTCGCCACAGTATCAGTCGCCACACATGCTAGGCTACCATAATTATATTATTGTTTCTAGTTCTAATCAAATTTTATTTTTAATATAAAGGTAAAATTGTAAGTATAACAATGACCACAATATAACGGAAACCACTTCAACCTTCATTACTAATTATGTTATGAGTCTTGTCTTGGGCATAAAAGTTCAAGAATCAAAAATCTTCTCAAATATGACAGTTCAGTTTATGTAGGACAATATAATTAAATTGCTTAAAAAATATCTGTAATTATGGATCTGTTATGCTTACTTATTATTACTGCGTCAACGTTCGTCTTTGTCGAAACTAATAAAATTAACTGGCACACTATAAACAAACACCACACACAAACATTACACATTGTAGCACTACAAGTTTTTTGAGACATAGTAAAACTTCACTAATTAACAAACAAAAGATTATTTCATGTTTAAATAACAGTTTGTACATGGAAAAGGCACTACATAACAGATTCACCCCAACGATCACCCATTGTCAATAAAACAAAACACTCGATACCTAAACACGAGCACAAATTGACATGACAAACACAAACGAAAACGACTACAAGAGTCGTTCGCGGTCGTTCGTCGTTGATATAACAGACCAAAGACTAGATAGACTACACAACAAACCGATGGAAATTGCAACAGAGTGACCATTTTGAAAATGGAGAATCTACTATTAATTAACTAAAATATCCTATGACATTTCAACTAATCCATACATTAGCAATTTTACTTATTGAATAGTGTAGAATAACTATTAACATAGTTCGTAGCGACTTTGCTTCCTGTAAATTGCGTTTAACGTTTTAATTTAATCCAAAATGGCAGAAACGATTTATATAGAAGGCGCGATGGAAAGGATGATTTTTTAAAACACAACACAATTACCGAAAGTAATATGAAATGAGTGACATTAGATATATTCTTATTATAAATAATATAATAAAATCTGGTTTCCATGTTGTAAAAATCGTAATAGCAATTGCTTTTTTAGCCAACCATAACAAGTCACAACAAAATTTGACAATAACGATCATAAACATAACAAAAATTTTTAGTGATCTCAACACAACCCAACTCAATAAGTGTACGCATCAACCAGTGTTTATTTGTTAACAGTATTGATTCTTAAACAGAATTACGCCACCAAAATGGCGTCTAGGTGCATTAGCAATTGGCGGGAATAATACATATAATCATATATAGCAGCCTTGAAATTTTTAAATATAGAAAAAAATCCTATCATAAACAATAAACTTCGAAATAGCTTTAAGTTTACTGTAAATTTCTAATATCATTATTGAATAAAATTTGTACCAGAACTATTATTAGTTCTTTAGGAATAAAGGTTCATAAAACTGAAATCTTCAAAACTTTTAACAATATATTTTACGATATCTGTTAACAAACTTACAGCCTGGTGACAAACATCCACTAAAATTAGTTTAATGCGACATTACCGATACAAATTTGACATTCATTAGAACTTAAAGGCGTCATTAACCCTTAATGGACCTTTGTGCAACTAACCGTAAATTAACTAAATTAATTTAGAATTAATGGTTAAAATGAAAATAATGTCAAACTAGCCCTTATATCCGAATTTAAAAGAAGTTTCTTGTCTTTGTTGGCGCCTTTATAGACATTAAAAGTAGAGACCGTACTTTATATTTTCATAAAGTGTTATAAATTAATAATTATGGATACTCGTTCCCACAAAACAAACCTTTTTAACCGTTTTCTTAATTGTAATGTTCTCATATCATTGGGATCTTTTTTCAAACGAATTTGCCACTAATTACAATATACAACAATAGTTTACACTACCACTCTTAATAGATGTCTACTATTTTAGTTGATTTGAAATAATTAAGAATAAGTGCTTAGTCTTTTTACATAGCATGGGTACGATGACATTTGTTAATAAATCCATTTCACGCAATTTGTATTTCGAAATATTTAAAAACAATTTTTTATTTATTTATTTATTTTGTACACACATACAATTAGAGAATTAGATAATTAATTAATTTGCACATAAAACACAAATAATTTTATAATAGCTATAATTACTGAAATCTAACCCTCTAGAGATTAAAATATCAATACGTGGTTTTTACATCACTAAAACTTCAAATCCCACACGTCACCATACCCATGTTATATAAAAAAAAAAGTCTAAGCACTTGTTCTAATAACTTAAAATCTACTAAAATAGTAGAAATCTTTTAAGAGTGGTCGTAATCTGGTATATTTCTATCACCTAAACGAAGAGCACAATAAGAGCGCTTGTGCACTACACTGAATTTTCATGTCCGGCGTTCCGATTTTTTCAGGTCCGATATGTCAGGCCATATGTAGGTAATGCGCGCTTGTGCACTGTCAGGAATTTTACCGTCCGGAATTTTACTTTTCTCTATTCCGGACCGGTTTTTTCAGGTCCGTGATGGCGGCAATGAAAAGCGTGTTTACGCTTGTAAAATTCATAAGGAATAGGCATGGGAATCGATTTGAATCGATATTTATTTCGGCAATATTGTTAATTTCGAATAAACTTATAATCGATATTTATTGTTGATTATAAAATGGTATATTTTATATGATCATTTAATATAGTTGGTATATATCACTGCATAAGCTTTGCCAAACTCGGTATACTTCTAATTTGATCAGCGTATGGTTCTAGTATCGATACTTAGCTAGATTTTAGAATCGTATTTAAAGTATCGATAGCTTAAGGTAAGATAAATAAGTGTTGTTACGCTTAGACGCCTAAATAACTGAATCCATCTAAATGGAAATTAATATAGTAAATAGACTTAACTTTAAGAAAGGTCATAGGCTACATTTTATCGCGAAAAATAGGGATGAAAGTTTGCCTGGAAACTTGTCATTATCAATTTTTTTTTAGACAATTGATAAGTATAGATAAATATTTGACAACAGAAGTAATAATAAAGAATAAACAGAAGATTAACAAAAGTAATTAAGTGACACTCAATGTCTTTTTCGCATTTAATAAAATTTTAAATGTATGTTTGTGTCATTAAAAAAATTAAAAAAAAAAATATTCTAAGGGGATTATATGTATTTCTGCTCAAAGTAACTACACCACGCGTATAAAATTATGCCTATATATAATACAGTCAACTGATCTCGTAAAGTTCATTTAGTATAATAATTCTTCGCTAACACGGCACTAATTTCGATTTGTTTACGAAATGACGCCACCGATTGGTCTATCTCTGTAATCGCTGAAAGTTGTTTAAACAAAATTTCGAAAAAAAATAACACGTTTAAAAACTTAAACATCAAGTACCACCACCACCATTATCAGTAATTTTATTCTAATGTCACAGATATTTTTAGCTATTGTATGTGAATAATGCTGTTCCTAAATTAGTAAGGGTATAAGATTTTACATCTGATAGTAGTCATCCGATAGTAGTAAAAAAATGCTTTCGTCTTGCCATAATTTATTATGGTTTGTGTAAAACGATCAGATCATTATTTAGGCACCTTTCTACGTCTTCGAAAGGAATTACCGACGTTCCAAAAATCTCATCGTACCTAGCGTAAGTGACGTGTAGTTTCAAAGAGAGCTGCCCTACACTGCGCCGCTCCGATCAGGAAAAAAACGGACAAGTGCACAAGCTACTCATCCGAGTTTTTCATGTCATTCCGGACCGGAAAAAATCGGACCGCCGGACCTGAAAATTCAGTGTAGTGCACAAGCGCCCTAACTGTTTTTTGCCATTAATTACTCGTCATCATGAAGAAGTATTTAAATAAAAAACAAAACACTAAAAAGCACCTCCACTAGATGGCGACTCTAGCAAAAGTTGATTTTTGAAGGAAACGAATGGACCAACGATAGTCATTTCGTTCTTTTAAAAAACTGAAATTTGTAAAGTTCGAAACTTATATATTAATACAAATATGAAAAAGTACAAATAGAATATGAGTTTTGAAAATCAATTAATTTTATACATGAAAGAAAACCGGAAGAATTATAATAATAATAATAATAATTCCTTTATTTTTTGTACAAACACCAGTTACATAAATATTTGAGGCCCTGACTTCTAAGCTAGTTTTACCTGTATTATAGAAGCCAGTATCTCCCCAATGACATTTCAATAATTAGATAGGTACTAAGTACAAACAAGTTGGAATATCATAAGGAATGTAAAAAAAAAAAACATCATGGAGAATCAAGAAAGTACGAAGTATCGGCTTCTGGTATCGATACCGAGTACTCATGTGGTATTGAGGGACATGGTATCGATATCATAAAAGTATCGCTCCCAAAGTATCGATACTACTCAGTATCGAGTATTTACCGACAACATTTAATCAATGCCAGAATTTTAGATTTTTCTTAGTTCATGCATAGAAAATAGCATAAATTCTCTTTGGATGCATTGAGGAACGAATTAAACAGTTTTATTTTTAGATATTTTTTACCGCCGTGTTTGGTGGGTAGGGTTCGAAGTATTGGCTTCCGGTATCGATACTGAGTACTCATGTGGTATCGAGGGACATGGTATCAATACCATAAAAGTATCGCACCTACAGTAACAATACTACTCAGTATCGAGTATTTACCGACAACATTTAAACCATGCCAGAATTTTATATTTTTCAAAGTTTATGCATAGAAAAGTGCGTAAATTCTCTTTGGACGCAACGAGGAAGCGATTGAGAAACAAATTAAACAGTTTTGCTAGAGATATTTTTACTGCTGTGTTTAGTGGGTAAAGTTGCCGTATTTTGAAAGACACGAACAACAAAATAAAATATGTTTTATTTTTTATTTTATTTAATAATTTTGATTATTTAATGTGGAAGTATAAAAAAAAGAAAGCACCACAAAAGCACCTCCACTAGATGGCGACTCTAGCAAAAGTATATTTGTGCAGGAAACGAATAGACCATAGATAGTCATTTCTGTTTAACTAACATATTTAAAAACTGAAATTTTCAAAATTCGAAACTTAGTTATCTATCCAAATACGAAAAAGTACAAATAGAATACAAGTTGTTTATTGAATTTTGAAAACTAAAAAACATGAAAGAAAACCGGAAGAGTTGTCATGGCGACATCAAGAAAGTACCGTAGCGACATCTAGTTTGATTTCGGAACTAATATTTTTCTTTAAATATTATCGGCTGTGGTATCGAGTACTCAGTATCGAGTATCGCTTTTGAAAGTATCGTTATCTACTCTGTATCGAAAGTATTGTTCGAACCCTATTTGGAGATAGAAAATTGGTCACAAATATTAGTGGTGGCAGAAATAACTAAAAAACCAGAACCAATGTATTTTTTTGGTATCTTTTAGCGGATATGTCAAACTGATGAAATAAACTTACAAATTAACGTTTTTTTTTTAGTTAAGTATGGGGATTTTTTTTTTCATATACGGCAGCACTGGTCGAAAGTTAGGTGGGGATTCCCGCTTCAATTTTAGGTAGGTACTTACAATGTGCAAGCGCTGCTATGTAATGCGAACAATAATCTAGTTTAATTGTTATAACAAAAGTTCATTGTT